GGGGCAGGGGGTGTGAAAGTGTTGGGGGGGGGGGCATGTAAGTGTCACAACATGAGTGGCATATTGGACGGTGTTTGAGTGAATCACCTCTCTACTTTAAAGCATTAAAAATTTTGATTGTCAATATTGTTTAAAATATTGATCGGCGTTTGGACGTCTGCTGGACCAAACCACTTCATTTACAATGAATCTGGCGTTCTCTATAATTCTGCACCAGGGATTCGAGAATGGGAGAAGGGGGATTCACGGGAGTCCAACGTTCCGTGGAACTGCTCATCTAGTTGGTGTCGCCTGAAACACGGCCCGGCTATGAAACAAATTGATATGAAAGAAAATTGGCGACACCTTAATGTAACTGTTATATAAACTTTAAAAAATGCTTACAATGCCACACTTTTCGTTGCAGAGGTAGTCATCTTTACCGCAATTACTGCAACCCACTTTGAGGGCGATTAATATTCCAGCAAAAGATAGGCTTCCAATTAGCCATACAACCGAGATAACCACCATAATAATAGAAACTACGTTGACTGTTATCATCTTAAAAATAAAAATATCATTGTATAATCTATTGACTATTACGATAAATTGTGGTAAATGTTGTAGATCTTATACTATAACATTATTATTATTATTATTATTATTATTATTATTATTATTATTATTATTATTATTATTATTATTATTATTATTATTATTATTACTATTATTATTATTTATTATTATTATTATTATTATTTGTATCATTATCAGCATCATCGTCGACCTTATTATTATTATTAATATTATCATTATTATTATTGTTATTATTATTACTATTCGGCCTATTATTATTACTGTAGTAGCAGCAGCAGCGGCAGCGGCAGCAGCAGCAGCAGCAGCAGCAGCAGCAGCAGCAGCAGCAGTAGCAGTAGCAGTAGCAGTAGCAGTAGCAGTAGTAGTAGTAGTAGTAGTAGTAGTAGTAGTAGTAGTAGTAGTAGTAGTAGTAGTAGTAGTAGTAGTAGTAGTAGTAGTAGTAGTAGTAGTAGTAGTAGTAGTAGTAGTAGTAGTAGTAGTAGTATACTTATTTATTATACATTTATTATTTTTTTCACAAATTAAAATAAGAATTAAAGGTTCCTGCAGTATTCGGTAAATCTCCATTAGTCCCAGCATTCCTTTGCGTCCTCTGTGGATATATTTTCACAAATTAAAATAAGAATTAAAGGTTCCTGCAGTATTCGGTAAATCTCCATTAGTCCCAGCATTCCTTTGCGTCCTCTGTGGATATAGCTTAGTACAAATGATTTTTTTTTTAAATAAATAAATCAATCAATCTAGTAGTAGGCCTACCCTTGACTTTTTTTCTGATTTTTACTTTTTTTAAATTAATATTTTTAACTGATTCTTGGTAGTGTAAAATAGTATACTGCATACTTCAAGTATTGGAATGCACGCCATCGTGCTGGGATTCAGTATTTCGACATTAACTCTATTATGTCATCATCAGGCATTCCTGATGATGACATAATTAATGTCGAAATATTGAATCCCAGCACGATGGCGTGCATTCCATTTGAGTATGGTGGCACATGCACACGATGGTGTGCATGTCAATACTTAGAGTATGGTGGCACATGCACACGATGGTGTGCATGTCAATACTTAGAGTATGGTGGCACATGCACACGATGGCGTGCATCAATACTTAGAGTACGGTGGCACATGCACACGATGGTGTGCATGTCAATACTTAGAGTACGGTGGCACATGCACACGATGGTGTGCATGTCACTACTTAGAGTACGGTGGCACATGCACACGATGGTGTGCATGTCAATACTTAGAGTACGGTGGCACATGCACACGATGGTGTGCATGTCAATACTTAGAGTACGGTGGCACATGCACACGACGGTGTGCATGTCAATATTTGGAGTACGGTGGAACATGCACACGATGGTGTGCATGTTAATACTTAGAGTACGGTGGCGCATGCATACGATGGTGTGCATGTCAATACTTAGAGTACGGTGGCACATGCATACGATGGTGTGCATGTCAATACTTAGAGTACGGTGGCGCATGCATACGATGGTGTGCATGTCAATACTTAGAGTATGGTGGCACATGCACACGATGGTGTGCATGTCAATACTTGGAGTACGGTGGCACATGCACATGATGGTGTGCATGTCAATACTTAAAGTATGGTGGCACATGCACACGATGGTGTGCATGTCAATACTTAGAGTACGGTGGCACAGCAGGGGCGGATCCAGAGATGTCC